ATACAAGTGTGTCACGTGTAAAATGCGTTTTACTGAGAAAGGCCATCTTATCAGACACATGAGGACACACACTGGTGAAAAGCCATACAAGTGTGACGTATGTAAAATGCAATTTAGTGATAAAGGCGATCTTGTAAGGCACATTAGGTTACACACAGGTGAAAAGCCATACGCGTGCTATGTGTGTAAGAAGGCTTTTAGTCGAAAATCAAGTCTTCATAAACACAAAACAATTTGTAGTGCTATTTAACGATATCTCTTTTTAATTCGTTTATTTGTGTAAAGCAAGACTTGGCAATCTGTAGCAATAATTGTGATTAAGACATTTTTGATTATTCATTGTTGTATTACGAATAAAACCATTGATCCACAGATATCATCAACCCGTCGACACTTTTATTGTTCCTTGCTCGTGCACGCCGGTTCTTTGGCGGTCCTCCGTACACACACGCAGGTGTCTGACGTGTTGCCGTCTTGTTCCAGGTGCCGTTCCCAGCACCCCACCCAGCAGTGGTGCGTCTCTCTGGGATGTTCGTGCGGAGGTGTCCGTCGACGAGGGCCGCAAGCTCGACGAGCTCAAACGGCAGCACGACGACCAGCTGAGGCTGGTGGTGACGGCGTGCTACTCGCTGCAGGACGAGCAATGCCCAGTAGAAGACGCGGTGAGTGGTGGGCCCGGGGACGGCGAGCTGCAGCCTAAGCAGGAGCAGGGTGATGAAGGTGTGGCGTCTTCCCTCGGCGATGCAACAAGGCAGGGTGATTCTACCGTTCACGCTGAGCTGGTGCAGATCAACCAGCTGGACGCCCAGAAGGCTTTGCGGGTGTTGCGGAAGAAGCAGCTCGGCAGGAAGTACACCGGAAGCGGGACAGGAAGTGAAAGCGATCCCAGTTGCCATCTGCAGGCCAACTCGTGCGGGCCCACCGGCAAGGCCCACAAATGCAAAGTCTGCGGGAAGAGTTTTACGCAAGCGAGTCAACTGAAGAAGCATACAATGTACCACACTGGTGAAAAACCGTTTAGCTGTGACATCTGCCCCATGCGTTTCTACCAGAAATCCCATCTTGTCGATCACATAAGGGCACACACTGGTGAAAAGCCATACAAGTGTAACGTGTGTCAAACGAGTTTTACAAAGAAAGGCAATCTTGTCCATCACATAAGGACACACACCGGTGAAAAACCATACAAGTGTGACGTGTGTAAAGTGAGTTTTACAAAGAAATGCGATCTTGTCGTTCACAGAAGGAAGCACACTGGTGAAAAGCCATACACGTGTAATGAGTGTAACAAGGTTTTTAGACGAAATTCACATCTCTGTAAACACAAAACAATTTGTATTGCCAATTAACTTTACCTATTTTTATTTCATGTACGTTTGTAAAGCCAGATCAGTAAGTTTTTCAGCAATGACTGTAACTGAGACATTTCTGTTAATTCATTCTTGTATTACGAATAAAAACGTATAACTTCAGATTTCATCCACCCGTCGACACAATTATTTCGTTACTTGCTCTTGCATGCCGGTTCTGTAGTGGTCCTTTGGACCTTGGTGACTCAAGACGCAGTTGTCTGACGCGGTGCTCTTGTTCCAGGTGCCGGTCCCAGCTCCCCGTCCAGCAGCGCGGCGTCCCTCTTCGAGGATCCTGCGGAGGTGTCCGTCGTCGAGGGCCTCGAGCTCGACGAGCTCAAACGGGAGCACGACGACCAGCTGGGGCTGGTGATGACGGCATGCTTCTCGCTGCAGGACAAGCAATGTCCAGTAGAGGACACGGCGAAGGGAGGCCCCGGGGACGGCGAGATGCAGCCCGAGCAGTCCATTGAAGAAGTGGCGTCTTCTCTCGGCGACGCAACCAGGCAGGGTGATTCTACTATCGACGCTCAGTTGGTGCAGATCAACCGGCTGGATGCCGAAAAGGCCCCGCGGGTGTTGCGAAAGAAGCGGCTCGACAAGAAGTACACCAAAAGCGGGTGTGAAAGTAAAACCAATACCAGTGGCGCTCTGCAGGCGAACTCGGCCGAGCTCAACAACGGGGCCTTCAAATGCGAAGTGTGCGGGAAGAGTTTTACGCGAACGAGTCATCTAAAGAGGCATAGATTGTACCACACAGGAGAAAAACCATTTAGCTGTGACCTCTGTCACTCGCGTTTTACTGAGAAAGGTCATCTTGTCGTTCACTTGAGGACACACACTGGTGAAAAGCCATACAAGTGTGACCTTTGTCCCTCGCGTTTTACTGAGAAAGGTCATCTTGTCGTTCACTTGAGGACACACACTGGTGAGAAGCCATACACCTGTGATATGTGTAACAAGGCTTTTATCAAAAAATCAGGCCTCAATAGACACAAAACAATTTGCATTTCTATTAAACGTACTCTCTTTTGAATTCATTTATATTTTTAAAGCCAGTGTAGGCATTGTTTAAACAATAATTGTTATTGCAACATTTTTGTAAGTTTATTGTTGTATTACGATTAAAAGCATAGGTCTACAGATTTCATCAACCCGTCGACACCTTCATTTCGTTCCTTGCTCATGCATGCCGGTTGTTTGGTGGTCCTTTGACCATGGCGACGCACACGGTCATGTCTGACGCGTTCCTCTTGTGACAGGTGCCGGTCCCAGCTCCCCGCCCAGCAGCGGGGCGTCCCTCGGGGAGGATCCTGCGGAGGTGTCCGTCGACGAGGGCCGCGAGCTCGACGAGCTCAAACGGGAGCACGACGACCAGCTGGGGCTGGTGATGACGACGTGCTTCTCGCTGCAGGACGAGCGGGGCCTCGTGGTTGACGCAGTGATGGGTGGCACATTGTCGGCGAGGTGCAGCCCGAGAAGCGCGTCGAAGAAGTGGCGTCTCCTGTCAGTGTCGCAACGAAGCAGAGTAGCTCTGCCCTTCGGCAAGAAACACGCTTCGCTCACCCAGTGCAGAACACCCAGCAGGACGCCCAGAAGGCCCCGCGGGTGCTGCGAAAGAAGCAGCCAGAAAAGAAGTACACCGAAATCGGGTGTAGAAGTAAAAGCAGTACCAGTGGCGCTGTGCAGGCGGACTCGATCAATCGCACCGGCAGGGCCTTCAAATGCGAAGTCTGCGGGAAGAGTTTTACGCAAACGAGTCATCTAAAGAGACATAGGTTGTACCACACTGGTGAAGAGCCATTTAGCTGTGACCTCTGACCCTCGCGTTTACTCAGAGAGGCCATCTTGTCGATCACATGAGGGTACACACTGGTGAAAAGCCATACAAGTGTGACGTGTGTCAAACGCGTTTTGCTATGAAATGCACCCTTGTCGCTCACATGAGGACACTTACTGGTTAAATGCCATACTAGTGTTACGTGTGTCAAACGAGTTTTACTCAGAAATGCACCCTTCTCGCACACCTGAGAGAACACTGGTGAACAGCTGTACACCTGTGATGCGTGTAAGAAGTAATTTTGGTCTAAATCGAATCTCAAGACACACAAAAAACATTTTATTTCTATTTAACGCTTTTTATTTATGTTTGGAAATCCATATTAGTCAGTTTTTCAGCAATTATTCTAATGCAGACATTCATGATAATTGATTTCATTACGAATAAAAACGAGGGTGGACAGATTTTTTCACCCCAACCAACTCATATATTTTGTTTGTTCACTGTAATACGAATAAAAACATGGGTCTACAGAATTAATTAACTCGTCGACACTTTCATTTTGTTTTGTTCCTTGCTCGCGCATGCCGGTTCTTTGAAGGTCCTTGGACCTCGGCGACGCAAGACGCAATTGCCTTACGCAGTGCTCTTGTTCCAGGTGGCGATCCCAGCTCCACGTCTAGTAGCAGTGCGTCCCTCTGGGAGGACCCTGCAGAGATGTCGGTCGACGAGGGCCGCGAACTCGACAAGCTCAAAAAGGAGCACGACGACCAGCTGGGGCTGTTGGTAACGGACTGCTACTCGCTGCAGGACGAGCAATGCCCAGTTGAGGACGCGGCGAGGGGAGGTCCTGGAGACTACGACGTGCAGCCCAAGCAGCGCGATGAAGTGGCGTCTTCCCTCGGCGACGAAACCAGGCAGGGTGATTCTACCGTTAACGCTCAGCCGGTGATGATCCACCAGCCGGACGCCCAGAAGGCCTCGCGGGTGCTCCGGAAGAAGCCGCTCGGCCGGAAGTACACCGGAAGCGGGAGTGGAAGTAACAGCGATCGCAGTGGCGCTTTGCAGGCGAACACGAGCAACCACACCGGCATGGCCTTCAATTGCGAAGTCTGCAAGAAGAATTTTGAAAAAGCGTCTTCTCTTAAGCGACATATAATGTACCACACTGGTGAAAAGCCATACGAGTGTGACCTTTGTCCCTTGCGTTTTACTGAGAAAGGTCATCTTGTCGTTCACACGAGGACACACACTGGTGAAAAGCCATTTAGCTGTGACCTCTGTCCCTCGCGTTTTACTGTAAAAGGTAATCTTGTCGATCACATGAGGGTGCACACTGGTGAAAAGCCATACAAGTGTGCCACGTGTAAACTGCGCTTTACTAAAAAATGCCATCTTATCAGGCACATGAGGACACACACTGGTGAAAAGCCATACACGTGTGATGTATGTAACAAGGCTTTTAATCAAAAATCAAATCTCAATAAACACAAAACAATTTGTATTTCTACTTAACGTTATCTCTTTTGAATTGATTTATATTTGTAAAGCCAGATTATAGGCATTTTTGAAACAATAACTGTAATAAAGACATTTTTGTAAGTTCATTGTTGTATTAAGAATAAAAGCATATGTCTACAAAATTTATTAACCCGTCGACACTTTCTGTTTGTTCCTTGCTCGTGCGTGCGCACCGGCAGGTCCTCCAAATGCGAACTCTGCGGAAGTAGTTTCACGCACACGAGTCATTTAAAGAGGCATACATTGTACCACATAGAAGCAAAACCATTTAGCTCTGTGCCTCGCGTTACACTGTGAAATGTCATCTTGGCAATCACATGAGGCTACACACTGGTGAAAAGCCACACAGGTGCCCCGTCTGCAAATCGCGTTTTACTCAGAAATGCAGCCTTGTCGTTCACATGAGGACACACACTGGTGAAAAGCTATACACGTGTGATGTGTGTAACAAGGCCTTTAATCGAAAATCGAGCCGCAAAAGACACAAAACAATATGGATTTCTATTTAAAGTTATCTCTTTTGAATTCATTTATATTTGTGAAGCCAGTATTTGACTTTTTTTAAAATAATGATAATTATTAAGACATTCTTGTTAGTTCATTGTTGTATTGAGAATAAAAACACAGGTCTACAGGACCCGTCGATACTTTTTGTTTGTTCCTTGCTCGTGCATGCCGGTTCTGTGGCGGCCCTTGGGGCGCACACGCAGGTGTCTGACGCGGTGCTCTTGTTCCAGGTGCCGGTCCCAGCTCCCTACCCAGCAGCGCAGCGTCCCTCTGGGAGGATCCTTCTGCGGAGGTGTCCGTCGACGAGGGCGCCGAACTCGACGAGCTCAAACGGGAGCACGACGATCAGCTGGGGCTGGTGGTGACGGCGTGCTTTTCGCTGCAGGACAAGCAATGTCCAGTGGAGGACGCGGCGAGGGAAGGCCCTGGCGACGGCGAGATGCAGCCCGAGCAGCGCCATGAAGAAGTGGCGTCTTCCCTCGACGACGCAACCAGGCAGGGTGATTCTACCGTTGACGTTCAGCCGGTGCAGAACAGCCAGCAGGACGCCCAGAAGCCCTCGCGGGTGTTGCGGAAGAAGCAGCTCGTCAGGAAGTACACCGGAAGCGGGAGTGGAAGTAAAAGCGATCACAGTGGCGCTCAGCAGGCGAACTCGACCAAGCGCACCGGCAGGGCCTTCCAATGCAAAGTCTGCGATAAGAGCTTCGCACACGCGGCTTCTCTTAAGCGACATATAATGTACCACAATGGTGAAAAACCATTCAGGTGTGACCTTTGTCCTAAGCGTTTTACTGAGAAAAGCAATCTTGTCGATCACATGAGAATACACACTGGTGAAAAGCCATACAAGTGTGACCTTTGCCCAAATCGTTTCGTACAGAAAAGCAATCTTGTTAAGCACAAAAGGACACACACCGGTGAAAAGCCTTACAAGTGCGACGTATGTAAAATGTGTTTTACTGAGAAAGGTAATCTTATCAGGCACATGAGGACACACACTGGTGAAAAGCCGTAGACGTGTTATATGTGTATCATGGCTTTTAGTAGTCGAAATTCAAGGCTCAATAAACACGAAACAATGTGTATTTCAATTTAATTTTTTTTTAAATCTTCAAACTTTGTAAAACCATATGAAGCACTTAGTTTTAGCAAGGATTGTAATCAATTCATATTTGTTTGTTTATTGTACCAGGTGGCTGATTTACGCCACGCACTGTCGTAGTTGTCACTGTACCGCATGCACGAGTGCGCGTGGGTTTGCCTATGCTCGCTGCCCACGCCTCCCTGAGGCCCCGTGCGAGTAGGCAACCCGCCCGCACGCATGCATGCGGTACAGTATAAATACGAAAGTGCGCGGCGTGAATCAGCCACCTGGTATTACGTATAAAAAAATGGTCTACAGAGGTTATACACACATTACGACACATATATTTTGTTGCATATCTAACTTTTTTGTGAATCACATCTGATTTATATCCTCATGTTGCAACTATAACCTATGAAACCCTTTAGGTCATCTTGGTTAAAATGCTTTTCGATCTTTTAGAGCAGGGCCTCTCCGCATTGTAAATTACACGGAAAAATCATCCCAATCATCCCCGTTGCAACCTTCCGTAAAATCGTCTTTGTTTACCTAATCTCTGCGCTCCAGGTGGATTGGCGTGGAGTGTTGTAGCTACTCGAACCGTACGAAAAAACTGAGAGGGGAGGTTTTTGGCCTGGTCGAGGGGACTGGTTGTTTTTCTTACCAGCGAGAATACTTTTTCAAAGATGTCAGAGATCAGAACAACAGGTCCCCGAATTGATTTCACGCATTGCAGGTTGGGAAACCCCGTGGGGAAACTCAATCAAGTACTTGTATTTATTTTGTTGACAAGTTAACTTTAACTTTTTTGTGTATTACTTCAGGCGGAACCTGTATAGTGGGGCCGGATTACAATATGACGACGATAATCCCCGTCTGAGTGCTGCTCGGTAATGAGAGCTCTGCTGGCGGGGGCTTCCACATCAACCAGCGGCAACCACAGCGGCAACCAGCGGCAACCACAGCAGCAACCAGCGCGGCGACGCTTCAAACTGCAATAAGCGGTCGGGATGCACCACAACGCGAGCAGCAGCGGCGGAGGCCGCCAGCCAGCGCGCCCCGTCAAAATGCAACGCCCAAATACACAACGGGAGCGCGTTGCAGTCTATTGTTCTCTTTGTACCGACTCTGTACGCGCTGGCTGGAGGAGTGTGTTTGTGCGTGCGTGTGTGGTTGTGCGAGAGAGAGAGAGAGAGAGAGAGAGAGAGAGAGAGATGGGGTTGGGTGAATGTGCTGCATGCGAGTAAGCACGTCAAGCGTAGTGAGTCTCGAATTATGCATCCAGGGAGACAGAAGGCACCGTCCGTTTAGTCTTTTTCATCACGCTTATAGTTCGGCTGACCCCCCCCCCCTCTCCTCTTCTAGCACGTTTAATTGCGCCTCTTTTACCGAGCCCTATAGCGCTTTCAAAGCCTATATACCCACTGCATCTGTTTCCGCTCACGGCAGCGCGGACGCGCGGTATTCAAACCTATAATGGCGGGGGCGGTAGGTTTGGTGGCGGCGGCGTGCGCGCCCACCGCTTGTCATATCACAGCCATTCACGTCGCAAAGTTCAGCCAAGCAGCCAGCCCAACCCTTCCTCTCCTGCCAACATGTCTCTCTCTCTCTCTCCGCTGCCGCACTATCTCCACGGCGCCCCTCCTCCCTTATTCATCCGCGCAGGCTGGGCCACCCGGCGGCCGGGCGAGTGTTGCGGGCCTGCCCGCCCGCTCGGTGGCAGGGGCCGTGCCCGAGGCCCCCTCCCCCCACCCAATCCACTCGCGGCTCTCTCTACTACCCTGCTACCTGCTCGCCGCGGTCGCGCGCAGTCACCGCGCACAATTTGCTTCCCCTCCCCCCCTTTTTCCATGCCCCCCTCCGCCTATCCCGGGCGTTGTGTCAAAACCCCGGCCTTTGGCCCCATAAACTGTTTATCTAAACGCAAATTCTTTCATTGACGTTATCGGAAACCGAAGTGCACCAGTGTAAAGGACTAAGGAGGCAGGAGGCGGGCGGGCCCGGCCGGCCCCGCGCTCTGCCACTCAATATTCAAATCGGGCCGCCGCGGGGATGGGAAGAGAAGGGAGAGGGGGGCGGGGAGAGAGAGGTGAGTTGAAAACAAAAACTTTTCTCGATGTGTAATGTCGCTGCAACCATCCTAGGCCTTTCTCTCCCCCTCTCCCCCCTCCCCTCTTTTCGTGTCGCCGACCGTGCTTGCTTGATGGGGCTGCATTCCTCCTCCCCATGCAGCACTACAGTTCTTCCTGCAGGCCGGCCGCCCGGCTGCCGCTGCAGTGCTGGCCCGGCCGCCCCACGACCAGGCCGCCGCGCACGGCGCGCAGCGCACGCCGCACCGAGTGTGTTGTTGTTTTTGCTGCATCCTGGGCGGCTGGCTCGCGCGGCCGTGGGGCCATGGCGGCGGCATGCGAGCGGCGCGGCGCGCAAGGGCGCAGCAGGCATCAGATGTTGGCAACGGCAACACGGGTCCGCGCCCGTGTCGCCTCGCCGCGCTACCCTCCCTCCGCAAAGGACATAGCTCGCCGCTTCGCGTTTCCGGCGCTGCGACGACTATTTAGGGCCCCGACCAAGCTCGCACGTTTGGCGATACCGAGTATATGGGCCGATCGGCCGGCGCCATGTGCCCGACAGGCGCACCAGTCAATCGAGTCGGTCGAATCACTGGTTCAGTTCAGACCCCTTCGCGGTCCCCTGCAGTTCACGTAAACGTGGGCCCCTTAAAATGTGACTTCATACATACACCTGACTTGCTATGGCTCTCGCTGGTGGCTGGTGCCGCCGATATAGTCCGAGACTTGCCCCCACCCCACCCACCCCTGTAACGCCTCCTGTGTAACGCACTCACCCTCACCTCACGTGCTTGTGCATATGAGAGCCGCATGTAGCCGTAGCCAAGCCGCCCCTCCTGCATATTGCGAAACATCGGCTCCGGCCCGGTCTGCTGCGGCGGGCCCTACTCACCGCGACCGAGGGGGGGGAGGGGTACGGCCACGATATGAAGCAGCGCTTTGCCTCCTATTCGGGTAATCTGGGGAGGCAATATGGCAATATGTACACCGGGTGTAACTGTGAACACGGAGCAGTGTTGCGGGTTTGCCCATACTCTTTACACCCGTAAGGGGCCATGGCCCCTCCGGCCATATTGAGTATGCAATCCCGCAACACTGCTGCGTACTCACAGATACACTCGGTACACTCAACATACAGGCAACAAAGAGGCGAGGAAACCCTAAAGGCAAGCTTTAAGCAACCGATAGTAAGCTACCCGAAGTCCACTGCTGTCAATTGAGGGTGGCCC